GTTTCTGGAAGTACACATACAATATTCATCAACAAAATGTAGTGGCTATAGAGGAGTATTTTGCTCCAAATATGTGAAATCCTTTGACAAATTAACATGCTTTAAATGGGACTTCCCCGTTTTCTATCAGATTTTTGTCTTAGAGCAACTGCAGTGGATTTAAACCAAGCCAAACAACAACAACAACCACAAACCAGCTACAGTAACAAAAACCACCCTTGGTTTCTATTCAATTTTGACAGTGTAGTGGGTGAGCATGTGCAGCCTATAGGTCACATGATTCCCTTACTTTAAAAGAAGACACAGGTGCATACTGCATCTCTAATACTGTACTCATTTTCGGTCCCAGGCTTTGCTTTTCCGTGAGTATGCAGTAGACACAAGTCCCAGTCTATGCCCTTTAGTCCTGGGAACTTTTAGGTGCAGTTCAGTTCCTTCATTGGGACAAACAAAAACAGTAAATAACTAGTCACATGGTAACAGTACTTTCAAGCTGGTTAAATACTCTTCTTACCCAGGAATAAGCCTCTTTGAACTCACTTCAATTTATCTCTGCTTATGCCATGAATCTCACACGATTTTGCCTTTTATACTAGGTTACGACAAAGCAGCCAAGATTGCCAAAACAGCACATAAAGAAGGGAAGACATTAAAAGAAACTGCCATCAAACTTGGATTCCTTACCTCAGAACAGTTTGATCAGTGGGTAAAACCAGAAGATATGCTGGGTCCTAAGTAGTCATCATATATATAATTCAAATAGAAAAAAACAATAAACTGTACAAATGAAGCAGTTTTATTGTCTGATCTATTATGAAACCCATATTTCCATTCTTCATCTTAAGAGATGACATGTTCCATGGTACATGTAACAGTATTCTCAAGGAAAAATACTGCAAAAATTATCCTTTCCATATAGATATGGTTTTTGATTCTGTCATATTTACAGACAGCATTAAATCCACCCAAGTGTCACTAAGATTACTGTGAAATTGGATGTATTTGCAAAATCTGCACTAAAAGGCAACATATTTCTTCTGCTAGAAGAAGACATACTGTGAAAATATAGTGGAAATCATTTATAAGCAATTTTATGAACCTAAAGAATCTGTAAATGTCTAATGTCCAAGAAAATATATTTAAGCATATAAAGATTCACTAAACACTTGAAATGTATTCTGCTTTTTCTGAAAGAGTGCATTACCCCCAGTTGTCTGATGTGTCACTCCTCTCTAGAAGTAGCTAGTTATTCCAAAGTCTTGCTGAAAGGAGTAACGGCGAGGAAAGAATCTGGTCAGAGGAGGAGCAGCAGCATGCACTATAGAGATGGCAAGGGCCTCCAGTAATTTCCATAGCACCCTTAGCTTGTTAATGCTCTTTCATCTGTTTACAGTGATGGGCAAATTCGGCAGCTTCAGGGACCAATTTTGGTCCTCAGGACATGCCTAGGGCTGCACAGAGCCCTGTCCCAGGACAGAACCTATAGTGCCCCACTTCTCTTACAGCTGAACTCATATTTTACCAGTTAGTCCACAAGAGTATCATGGGGGTTTGTCAAAAGCCTTGCTGAAATTAAGATATGCCCACATCTTTCCTCTGGTCTATCAAGCTTGCAAGTTCTCTAATTTTAAAAAGGTGGAAGAGGAGAACATAAGGTTAGTTTTGTATGATTTACGGTATTCTTGAGAAAATACTGGCTTTTTGTAATCCACTGCAAGCTTTTCTTAATACAGACTACTTAATCTGAGAATTCTTTTTTCCATTACTTATGTAACAGTTATACCACAAATGTCTATCTGAGGCCCCATGTGGAAATAATACGGAATTTTGAAGTGTACAAGCTCTGGCAGGTTCTATCAAGTGGTAAGACTTTGAATCTCCCAACCAAGGACTAGCCTATCTGGGCAGAGGTTTATCAGTGGAAAGTTGGCTGCCAGGTGACAAACTGGCCGCAGCAAGTATGAAAAATGATGTGGAATATTTGCAATCTGCATCAGTGGAGCATTAAAGCATCATGTTAAAGGTATACAACATAAAGGTATAATGAGTTCTGTATCCAATTTACACAGTTTGCTATAAAACATAAAACACATAGACAATACATTATAAATTTAAACCAAAATAATAAAACAGACGCATTAGTCATTGCAGTCTATGGAAACCCTGAGTGAGCAGGCTAAATTTCTGGGTGTTTGAAACCTGGCATAGTTTCTGCTTCTTCCAGTCTGAGTCCTACTATTGACAAGGCTTATTTTAGAGATACTTCACAGCAACATTATTTTGATCGTGGAATGGCCAATATAAGCCTCTGTTTGGAGATCTCAAAGACTGACTATATATATATGTGGGAAAGCAGCAGGTGTTTTGGTTCCCTCTTGGTTAGACTGGCTTACTGGATGTTTCAGCCACCAGAATCTCTGACTGTCCATCAAGATAATAGAACATAAACCACCAGTTTAGAATGTCATCTGTCAACAACAGAACCGTGAGCATTGTTCTTGTATTGCTAAGAGTTATCCAAGTGTGTCTAATTGTAAATTATCATCTAGGTCAAGTGTCTGTTGAGAGAAATAAAGGAATCAGTGCTGCTTTTGTAAGTCCCTGTAAGGACAGGATGATTGAATAAATGGTCATGGTAAAATAATCAGTACATATTCTTTGTTAATTATTTAGCCAACAAAAGAAATTTAAATAAGTCATGAGAAATTATAAGATGAAAGTACAAATAAAGGAGGTACCCTATTGTACTGAAAAGAAGATTGAGCAAGTAGGCCCATGTAAGAATGAAGGAACTTAATGGGCCAGTTAGAATGACTACAGGAAGGTTAGGAAAAGGGAACATATACCAAATAAAGATAGAAATAAATAAGAGTCGGGGGTCTAGGTAAAGAGGGGAGTGGGAGATGTAAACAAAGGTGGGACTTCCTGTGATTGGTTTAGGCACACCGGATAGGCTGTACACCTTGGAGTACCTGACCAATGGTGAAACAAGGGAGGGACCATGTGGCCGGGAATAGGGGATAAATATGCGACCTGTATTGATGGGTGTGCTTACCCAGCTAGGACACCCACTTTTGCAAAAGTGCTTTTAATAAAAGAGTGCTGCTTCTATTCGTGGTTGTCTGGTTACTGCATTTAAGTAACAAGGTGTGAACATTTCTCACAAATGGCAGCTCATCTGGGATCCAGGTCTCCTGCTTTGGCCCACTACTGGGAAAACAGTAAGACGTGTCCCATTGATTTCAGTGGCCTACTTTCTCTAGTGGGGGCCCAGGCTGAGCAGACAGGACAACCCAGGATATGACACCACGTTGAAACAGACAGGTAGAAACCGGTGGGCACAAAGGCAACCAGGCAAAATCCGTGCATGGACCAAGGTAAGAACAGTGGACTGTTAAATATTGCCTTGGTGGTGGGACTGATTGACAGAGTGTTGAGAAGTGTCAGGTGACACAAAGTGATTGTGGAGTCTTGATCCACGGTTCCGTTGTATCCACAAGGAGCATGGCCGGAGACAGATGAAGCGGGTGATTCTCTGTTGAAAGACATCTCAATGGGGAACAAGAGTTCCAAGTGTGGACCAGGGAAGGTCCAGGAAAAGGAAAGCCTAGAGATAGACATTCTGCCAGACAATCCTTTAGGCGTAATGTTAAGGTTTTGGAATGTAAATGAAATTACTAGGGGTAAGATAAAAAGACAATGATAAACCTTTGTTGTTTTGCATGTACTAAGGAAAGCATCTGCAGTGTTTTGGCCAAAATTTGGAGCATATGAGGCTTGGATCTGTCAGGATCTGAATGCCTATGTAAGGGGGGAAAGTTCAGTGACACAAGAAGAAGCAGAGTATGCCTCCTGTTCAATAGGAAGTAATTTTGTTTTAATGAACCCTCTGAAAGTAGAGGAAAAAGAAGAAAAAAATGTCTAGATGGGATCCCTTAGAATAACCCCCCACCCCCATACATTGCCCCATTACCCAATCCACCCCCTGTCCCATTGCCACCCATTTTGGCACCATCTTCCCCACCACCTCCTACCTCACCTTCATTAGCCCCTCCCCAGGAATTTGGTGATAATCCCAGTGTGGATGTTAGCATATATAGTGTATCAAGCTCTAGTGAGCCTGAAGTGGTAAATAAGAGATGTGAACAAGGAAATATGAGTTGGAAAAGGGCAATGTAGACAAGGAGTAAAACAGCTTGAGTTATTAAAAAGAGATGTAAAGAGTCTCCCATTTCTTCCCACAAAAGGAAAAAGAAGGAAGCTTATGAGAAGAGCTAAAGATTCTGATAATGAGGAGACAGAAGAGGACAGTGATGAGTTACCGAAATATGCCCCCTTCCAGAAGTGGCCATGGGACTTAACCAAGTGGAGTTCGTGAATGCCCCTTTAAGTAGTGCAGAAATACTTATTTCAGTTTTTTTTACTTCCCTCCATCTAAAAGATTTCATTATTTACGTTTTTTTTATTTTTACTTCCCTCCATCTAAAAGATTTCAGTTTGTTCAACAGAGTTGTACAGTTCATAGGTCTCATTAAAAGTAGAAAAAGTTCTGAAATGATGTATCTTTGTCTCATTTTTTACATCACAAACACTTGACGTTTTAACAGGGTTGTGTGAACTTTTGCTATCCACTGTAAATGTGTACAAGATTATAACTTCAATACGGTTTGTGCAATTGCTCGTATATTAAACCAGCTGGGTGTGAAAGAGATATTTCGGGGAACTATACAGATGTTTTTTCCCTCCCATGAAGGCGAGAAGCCGCAATACCGTGTTTACATACGACCTCTTCCGTTCCCTACTCTCCCGAACATCCACAACCCAGACCACAATGAAAGCCTGAGCGAGCCCTCGCCATCCTTCCCGCCCAAGCCCCTGGCCTCGTCTGGCATCACGTGACTGTCTCCTGTAAAAAGATCACAATGGCCTGACGTTTTCCTGCCAGGCGTTGATTGGCTGCTGAGTTGGCACGTCAGGCGCGGGCGGTTGTTTCCTGGTCTTGAGGAGGGTTTTCTTGCGGTAGCTTCCGGGAGGCCCTTTTGTTGTTGTCGGCTTGTTCGGGTGGGCTTGTGCCGGGCGCTGGACTTGTAGTTGCCGCGATGAACCGCCTGTTTGGGAAGTCGAAGCCCAAGGCGCCGCCTCCGAACTTGACGGATTGTATTGGCACGGTGGGTCTTTTCGAGAAAGAGCGAGAGCGGGGTGTGTGTGGGTGTGGGGGTGTCTCGGCCAGAGGGCGGAGGATTCTGGCGACGGCCAAGGAAACCGGCCTTCTGGGCCTCGAGGGAAGGCGGCCGTTCCTTCCCAGCCTTCCGTCCCATGAACAGCCCCCCTCCCAACCGCGCCTTGCAAGCTTTTGGGGGGGCCAAGAGCTCGGCCCCGGCCTGGCCTGCGAGGCTGCTGGTTGTCTGTGCGATTCCCAGAGGCACTCGCTTCTCTGGCTGGCCCCGGCGGTGTCGATGACTAGCCGGGCTTTTAAAGTTGGGGAGTCCTAAAACCGTTTATACAACAACACTTTTCAGTGCGACCTTTTTGATTTGATAATAAAAATAAAGTCTTACTTGCTCCTGGCTCTGTGTAGGATTGGAGGGATGGGTGTGAACAACAAAACAGTAAGAAACGCAGCGAAGAATCTCAAATGTGCATTCAAATGGTTGTAAAAAGTAGTAACAACAGAAACCTTGCTCCTGGCTCTGTGTAGGATTGGAGGGATGGGTGTGAACAACAAAACAGTAAGAAACCCAGCGAAGAATCTCAAGTGTGCATTCAGGTGGTTGTAAAAAGTAGTAACAACAGAAACCTTGAAATAGATTGTTTCAGGAGACCTCTTGTGCTATAATTAACATGTATAAACATATATTAAAACATTTATGTACAGATTCTCTAAAAACCCCATTTGAGATAAGTCCAGCTTTGTCATTCTTTTTTTTTATTTAGAAACCCAGCGAAGAATCTCAAGTGTGCATTCAGGTGGTTGTAAAAAGTAGTAACAACAGAAACCTTGAAATAGATTGTTTCAGGAGACCTCTTGTGCTATAATTAACATGTATAAACATATATTAAAACATTTATGTACAGATTCTCTAAAAACCCCATTTGAGATAAGTCCAGCTTTGTCATTCTTTTTTTTTATTTAAACAACTAATAGGTCATGGGAGGGATTACACATTTAGAAATTACTTTTGTTTGTGGCAATCTTGTACTGTACATCGTTTTTCTTAAACTCAAACTACCTTACATAAAGAAGTAGCCAGTTCTTCCTCTGAAATATTTTTGTATGTCTCATGGCTGACAGTATGATGTACAGTAATGTTATCTTTTCATTGCATTTTTAGGTGTATGCAAATATGTTACATAAAAAGCATAAGTTTATAAAAAGCATACATAAAGTTTCCTACACTCTTTAATGCTTCTGGTCAGCCTCTATCATAGTTTAACTGTAAGCGTAAAAGATTAATTATGACACAGACAACTTGATTTAACACAGTTGTCTATTCTGACCGAATCATGTCTGGCTTATTGGTAGGCAGTAATGGAGACAGGGGACCAGTACTCTTCCAGGTGATGAAATCTGCCTTTCTGATCACTTGAAGAAAATTCTTACTTGATACTGTACAGGGAGGCCATGGGAGAGACTGCCAATAAGCTTGCTGTGCAATCCAGTGATTCCCAGCCTTGAGTGACCCAGGTGATCTTGGACTGCAGTTCCCAGAAGCCTTCACCACCAGCTGTGCTGGCCAGCGTTTTTGGGAGTTAGAGTCCAAGAACACCTGGATTATCCAAGGTTAAGAACCACTTCTGTACACCAGTGGTTCTCAAACGGGTTCCCAGATGTTCTTGGACTTCAGCTCCCAGAAATCCTGGCTTGCAGAGCAAGTGGTGAAGGGTTCTGGGAACTGCTGCCCAAGAACATCTGGGGACCCCAGTTTGAGAACCACTGCTGTACATCATGGCATTTTTGTTCCCTGGTGGATCTCTATTTTCTTGGGATAAACATACATTGCAAGATACATTTCATTAGTGAAAATGAAAGCATGAGCATAACGCATTAATTCACTTGTTTTCTGTATGTTTCTATCTCATCTGTCATGGGCACTATACATTGAGGAACCCATTTCCAAAAATATGGAGTGTACTGCAGGGATTTTTGCCATATATTATTGCTAGTTAGAGGATGATAATGTATGATTCACTTCAAAACAAATTGAAGTGGTTTTTGATTTGTTTATCTGTAATTTGAAGCATATTAAGTGTGCTGCTCCACATTAGCAGATCCTTGTAACTAATATTTAATAGTGTCTTTTAGACTCCAAAAAGAAAGCAAAGCAAATTAAATATGAAGTTCTAGTTTAGAAGTGTGGCTTGTGATGCAGTCTGTTTATCAGATTAGTATGCATAATACTGTATTAGCATTCTGACATTGACACCAGTTAAAATCTTGATTTGGGATTATATGTGTCTGTGAAACATAAGATAAAGTCTGTGCCTGGAACTGGGTGGTTCCCAAATGTATGTATTTGGTATATGTCTTGTAAACTAACTTATGTCGTAAAGCGAATTTTATTGACCTTTATTTTACATATCATAATGATAATAATATTATCCGTGGTTTTCGGTATCCATGCGGGGGGGGGGTTGAAACCAATTCCCAGCAGATGTGGAAGTCCTACTGTGTATGAATGTTGTATTCAGATGAACAGCTTAGGTTTCTAAGAATATCAGCTTTGTTTTCCTCCTGAAAAAAGTACAAGTTACTTTTTCCTGAGCCATCAGAAAGCTATATGCTCATGTTTGTGCAGTTTCTGTTCAGGATGAGAGTATCAGGCTGCATATTTGAATGTTGTCTTATCCTTCGCCACTGATATAACTCTTCTTCTATGTTCCCCTCAAATACTTGGCAGATCTTTTCTCACCATATGCCATCCCTCCTCCTCCTCCTCCTCCTCCTCCTCATCATCATAGTTTATTACAGTCAATGACCAGGAAGATAATACATTATTTAGATAAAAATCACATAATATCAGAGATATTGGTTGAGACATGTCACCATCAATGCACAGTCTGGAATCTGGCTCTTTAATGACATTAAAGTTAAAAATAAGTTCTAAGTTAGCCAGCGGCACTGAAGGATATAAAAGCTTTTAAAACATCACAGCAATCACATGATATAAGATGAAATTAAGAGACAAATATAACCATCAATATGCCACCCTACTCTCCTTGAAAGTAAGTTAAACAAAACATTTCTAACAAGGACGGGGGCACTTAAAGACCTTGTGTGGTCAGAAGACTGCAGCAAACTATTGTGACAGCACAGTATTTGGCCACTTTACTAGTATTGTAAGAAATGTTATTGGAGAGCAGCAAAAGAATATAAAATTCATCAGATATCCCCAGAAATTTTTGAAAAACGGGAGAGAAGATCCACTTATATACCTCTCCTACTACTTCCTCCTCAAATTCTTGGGAGAAATTTTCTTACAATGTGCCATCCTCCCTCAGTATTTTAGTGGCTAGATTAATATTGCCATTAAAATTATGTAAAATAAGTTTTAATTTATTTTCCTGTATACAAAATTTTAGTCATAACTTGAAATGCTTTATATGCTTTCCTACTCATTTCACTTTTATTTTACTTTTTGGGGGAGAGAAGATGCAACAAAGCAACTTCCAGTTAGCTACATGTGCCGATGACTGTTTTAGATTTTCGTGGCAAGCTAGTTTGAAACTGAGGGACATTTCACAATCTATTTGTGACCTGACATTGGGTTTTACTGGTCATAAAATAAGTACCCACTGGTTGTACTAAGGCATTGTATGCTGTAATGTTCAAAGGTTCCCCCTGTGTAGTAAAGAATTATTTAAAAATCAATGCCTGTGGAATTTGAATTCCTATTCAAATTTGCATTATAAATGCAGGTTTATATAGCTATATAGCTAGCTTGTGCAGCAGCCAGTTTCCCAGTCCCTTCCTCTTTTCACCATTATGGCTTGCTGTCAAATTATCTTGCTATAAGGACAGTTTTCTCTTTTGTGCCTCTAGATTGGCAATTGAAAGTGAGCTTTCTCTCCCTAGGAAGACGCACTTTATCTCAGTGGTCTTTACGTGCTAATGTGCTTATGCTTTTTGTGGGTCGGTATTATTGTTAAAGGAAAACCGATAATAATTTGCTATAGATTGTGTGTTTCATTGCTAAGTGGAGTCACTGAAGTTCATTGAGAATTTCTATAATTACTTTGACTGGCTTCAGAATTTAATGGTTCTGTTATGAGTAACAAGATACTTCTTTTCATCTTTCTTTCTAAAGGTGGATAGCAGGGCAGAGTCCATTGACAAGAAAATTTCAAGGCTTGATGCAGAACTGGTGAAGTATAAAGATCAAATGAAGAAAATGAGGGAGGGACCTGCAAAGGTAGGATATGAGCTATTTATGGTGAGGTGACTCATGCTAAATCATATAACCTGTTTCCCAGGTTTTTGAAGTGTTATTGGATATTCTTCTCATAATTCTCTCAGTATCCGAGACCTAAATTACAACATAAGAAAATGCCTTGTATACAGTCCTGGTGTCATATCAGAGAGCCTTGTCTGAGGTTATACCTGTATTATCTCTGCCCATGAGAAAGCAGTGACTGAAAAACCCTGTTGTGTGTGCAGAAATTCACATTGCAGTTTTGTCAAATGGCATTCTGATACAGTTTTCCCCCAAATAATGTAGAATGTGAAGCAGGCATCATGTTAGACTTTGGGCTAAATACCTTGGATTTAAGTTCTCCTTTCATAGATTTGCTGGCTGGTTTTGAGCAAGGCACAACCACTTGCCTTGTGTTTCTCATTTCTAAATACCAATAATGACTTTCCTGAAAGATCTGTTGTAATGGTGAATAAAAATTAAGTGTATACTGTTTACAGTCTGCTGTATAGTTTCTTATTAACCACACATTTTGGATGTAAGACAAGTAAATATATGTATTTTAACCACATTCGTCTTCCTTAAGAAAAGATAAGAGCCAATGTGATATAGGGGACAGAGAGTTTGAATTCAAAAGGGAGAGTTGGTTCAAAATCCCACTCAGAAAAGATATATTCTGATATGTTACTGGATGATTATGAAGATAAAAGGGGTTGTGTAAGGGAGTTTTGGACCTTGAAGTCTGTGAAATGTCTTAAAATGCTGAGATGTTCTTTAATATTGTTTACTTAAGTGGTTTATAATAATAATAATAGTCAGGTTGATTCCAACTTATGCAGTACTTTTAAGGGTTTCCTGTGTATTGAGTGGCTTACCATTTCCTTTTGGTGGTGCTCTGGGAACATGTAGCTTGACCAAGATCACACACGCTGGCCCTTCTCCTACAAGGCTCCGTAGTGAATTAAACTCCTGACGCCTGTATCCAACTTGCTGTGCTATCCAGCCAGCAGAAATGGTATATAGATGATATCAAATGTTCTTGTTGTCTGTAGGTGTTACAGTAGAAGATTGGTATTTAATCTTAAAAATAATCAGTAATTTGGCAAGCTGGGTAGGTGGGGCTCGTCAGCCATGGAAGGCAGCCCATCTAGGAGAAGGAAAACTCCAATTTCAAACCTCCACTGCCTTGTGGCTATATCCACCAATGGAAAAGGCTTCAGGAGTTAACCTCGAGGCAAAATCCGGAGCTGGAGTCCCGAAGGCAGCTCGTGTCGTTCTGCCAACTCCTGCGACGTTGCTGGAACCAGTCGTATTGGCTCTTGCCTTTCCGTTGGACCATTTCAGCAATGTGGAGAGGGGGGATCTGCTGCTTGGGTAACAGCCTATCCTCCATATTACCTTACCCGGGCTTCATGCTCTGGAGAGGACACTCCTCGATTCAGATCATGTTACCATACTCTCTTGAGACTGAAGGATGCCTATGTGGTAATTTGGCAAGCTTTCCTTATTGGTACAGATAACTAATTGTTATTTCTTCTCTAGAACATGGTAAAGCAGAAAGCCTTGAGAGTATTAAAACAGAAGCGAATGTAAGTTTCAGTCTTCTTTATTTTCACTTGTAAAACGCAGTACTAGTTTCAAGAAAATGAGAAGTCTATTAATGTTGGATTGTAGATACACCAGCATTACCACAGTTACTACTCTTCATGTCCTCTGCCTCTGGAGGGATCAGTTGTTGCTGCTAGGATGGGTTGTTTAGCATCCTATAATGGCCAGCAGTGGCTTCTGTGTCGAGGTGGAATGACTGTTCCAAAATTTAAAAATTCCACTCATAAGCACTATTCATGTTATATAAGCTTTTACTTATGGCATTATTTCCTAGTCTTTATGATGCTACATGGATTGTTTTTTTACTTTGTTTTTCACATGTTTTTATTATTTAGCTGTGATTATTGTGTTTCATGTTACTGCTTGTTTGGTTAAATGTAAGTCATGTGGATTGGACTATCAATATTTTTACTCCATTCATTTCATAAATGACTAATCTATTTGATTTAGAAAAATATATATATATTTAAAAAAATCTTATTGATTGCAGCCCAAATTGTCAATTCTGGCTTAGAGTCAGTTAACAAACTAAGCAAATATGATAGGGTTATGTGTTGTTTAAGGCCAGTAATCAAGTAGCAGTTTTCAATCCTGGTATTATCTGTAGTGGTGATATTTACTTTGCTTGCAGAGGCTACCTTTGGCATCAAGCAGTTACAGTGGGGTCTTGACTTAAGAACGGCTTGAGTTAAGAACATTTTGACTTAAGAACCACTCTCATAGGAAAATATTGACTTGACTTACATACTTAGATTTGAGTTAAGAACTGAAAAAAACCACGTGGGAGACAGGGAAAGTGCAAAATTTGAACTTTCAGTTAACTGTTGGCCAGTGAAAAGGGTGCCTGTCTGCTTCCTCACTCCTCTCAGCGTTTAGAGAGTGGATTGGGAGACAGTCTTCAGACTGCCTGGTACTGTACTGCCTGGACTGTATTTTCCCTGCCTTCCCTGAACCTTTCTTGACCTAAAAAAAGAGAAACAAAATATCCCCCTCTAGTGGTCGAAGGCGGAATAGCAGCTTCCCAATTGTTTCTATGGACGGTAAAGAGCAGATACGGATCAAATGGTTCTCAATGCATTCCTATGGGAAATGCAGATTTGACCTGAGAACTTTTTGACTTGAGAACCACCTTCCAATACGGATTAAGTTCTCAAGTCAAGACCTCACTGTAGTGTCAAGAAGTGAAAAAAGATGGCTGAAATCATGTTTTGCAACTACACATTCACAGTGCAAAGCTGTGGAAGTAGTAGGGAAAAAATCACAGCAGGATGGAAGTAATATCCACAAAGCATTTCCACAGGTGTGTCATGCGGTAGTCCTGATGTGAACAGTGCAACCATTATGTGAACCATACAGTTGCAAACCATGCAGTGAATTGGACAAATGTAACATGAACCGTGCAACTGAAGTGTGAAACATGTTGATTGCACAGTGCTGTCTGTCCGGACATAAGGTGTAACAGGTGAAACTTGAACAGGATTTTAGCCATTGTTCAGACTCTACAATAATATAATCATTGCACAGTATTATGGCTTTCATAGGGAACATATTTGTTCAGGCATTAGTAGGGCAGACGAAAACATCATGCCTGCAAGTTTAACTGAGTCCAATTAGCCTATCTGTGCAGTGTTTGCCATTATAAATGTTTTAAATATTTTAATTGCTTTGAATGTTTTCAAATATTTATTTTGATGTATTTTTATGTTTTTATTGCTTATTTATATTTTACTTTTCTATTTTGTTATGTTAAATGGTACGTGGTAGTGTTTATATGCTGCAAACTACCCAGAGTGGCCTCAGCCAAATGGGTGGTATAAAAATTGAATGAATGCATGAATACAGAGTGAGATGTGGCACTAAAAGATGGGATATCTGCTATGACTTGGAAAAAGTAACTTTTTCTTAGCAGTTGAATAATAAGCAAACAGTTAAGTGTGGCCTAAAATTCAAAAGGCACTGAGCGACTCATACATTTACTACAAGGTTGCCAGTTGTCCATACTTGCCCTAAAACCTTTGGACAGGTCTTCAGATGTGCACTATTGGATCTGAGTCTTTGGAAGGAAGGGCAGAAATTACAGAAGCAGCACTAGTATGTGACTTACTGCCTTCAAACACTGAACTATTGTGCGTTTTGAACATAGGTATGAAAATCAGCGTGATAATCTTGCCCAGCAGTCATTCAACATGGAGCAAGCCAATTATACAATCCAGTCATTGAAAGATACGAAAACAACGGTAATTCTGCTTTTCTTTTCAATGTGATTTTACATATTTTTGTATGTGTTATATTTAGTTTTAATACCAAATGTGTTTTTCCTCCTAGGTTGATGCCATGAAACTGGGAGTGAAGGAAATGAAAAAGGCTTACAAGCAAGTTAAAATTGATCATATTGAGGTGAATCTTCTTGTATGTTGAAAACCGGATGGCCACCTGAACCACTTGAAACTCCAGAGATAGATTATGGTTGCACACTTTGGCATAATTATGCCTTTGCTTTGTCTTCTCGCTATTTTGGAATGGATATTAAAATGTTAATCCCAAGGAATCATTAATGGTGGTGGTACTATGTTAGCTAAACTACTTTGGGCCCACTTTGAAACTGTTTTAACAGAGCTGAAAAGCAAAATAAGAAGTAGAAAGGTAAGAGCTGGATTCAATCCTACTTAGAATAAACTGATTGAAATAATTTTGTCTTCAATCCAAGATTTCCAGGAATTTGCTCTGTACTTGATTAAATGTGAATCCAGCCCACTGGTTCAGAGGCAGCAAGAGAAAAATAAGCTGAAGTAAATATTAGAGTAATAGGCCATTTTAAAACTTAGGTATTATCATTCAGGTACATATTTTGTAATTGTCAGGATCTGCAAGACCAGTTGGAAGATATGATGGAAGATGCTAGTGAAATTCAGGAAGCATTGGGTCGTAGTTATGGAACCCCAGAAATTGATGAAGATGACTTGGAGGCTGGTAAGTTGCCAGTACAGTCTAACTTTCTAGAAGTACTCAGGATAGGTAGATTATAGGCAGCTTACTTTCTTTAACCAAGATTTGGCATTGTAAGTTAATGGAGGGATGCACAAGATGAAAATAATGTGCAACCCACTGGATGTCAGTTGCATCCTCACATATCTACCACAGAACTCCTCTGCTGACTGGCACTGCTATGTTCATACTTCTAATGGTGGCAGGAAAAGGCAGTGTCATTGAGGGATGCTGGGTAGAGAGCCTCCTGCTTCCCCCAAATGTTACTGTTGTGTCCAGTGTTGTATGCCATGGTGGAAGAATGTGAACAAAATGTAAAGATAGAAAACAAAAAGACATTTGAATATGTCTTCTAAGTGACAGACACTACAGACTTAAGAAATTGTGTTTAAGTTTTTCTATTTTTCTTATCACCTTCCCCTGAAACTAGCCTATGGGGGCAGGGTTTGGGGTAAGAAGTGAGATATAAATAGACTAAACAATGTTTTGGAATTGTTAATTTTAAGAGTTTGAAGAGGCTGCTGAAAACACTTCTCTTTCTGGAAGCATTTGAGGGCAGCCTCTTTTGAATTCTTCCGCCCTGCTCTACTGCTCTACTTTTATCTCCATCTGTGCTCATGCTGGTTTTCTGGCATCATTTTATGTTCAATGTTGTCATTATCTTGCTGTCTTAAGTATTTACAGAATGTCTAGCTATACAGGGAGGTTCATATATTTTTATTTTAATCGCCAGAATAGTGGTGTATACTAATAGGAGCAGTATATAACTAGCTGAATGAATGAATGAATGAATGAATGAATGAATGAATGAATGAATGAATGGAATGATTTCAGAAGTGCTGGTTTATTTGTATTTAAATGGATTGTACCTTGTTTTGTGCAGTTTTTACACTATCAGTCTTTATGTCACTGGTCACTAGACTTTTTCTGTACTAACAACAATTGTAGAACTGGAAGCACTGGGTGATGAACTTCTAGCCGATGAAGATAGCTCCTATCTAGATGAAGCTGCGTCTGTTCCATCAATTCCAGAGGGTGTGCCAACTGAAACTAAAAATAAAGTGAGTCTCTTTTATCCCTTTTTCCAACATGCATATTAATCAGAGTATTTTACAATAGAGCCTTTCCTAAAATCATGTTATGAGAGCCCAATATGATTGTAGTTTTATTTCCCTCACATTAATAAATATATATTTAGACCTTCCATATGCATTTTTATCTTATATTCAAGACTAAATAGTGTAAGTAAAGTGAATTTTCTTACTTGAATTTGTTATGGTTTAAATTTCTAGTAGGTTAACAAGTGATGTGAGGCTGAAGTCAGTCATCATATCAAACAATGATTGAAGAAGTTATCTGTGATTTGGCATGTTGTAATAACTGACAAATGACAGCTTGTGTGCAACCAGCAGATCTCTGGTAGGAAGTAGCTTTGGAAACCATGGTTTGTGGCTAACAATGATTTTGCTGAATGTCTGAATTGATTAACCATAGTTATGACCATCATGTCCTCCCAGCAGGCTCCTGAACTATGGTAATGAACTGTATGTATGGAAGCTAAAACAGTAATTTAAAGTTCAATCTATATTTAGCATAAACTGTGGTTTGATGTGGTAACTGAATTTAGTCTTAGCTTTCATGATATTTTATAACACTTAATTTATTATTTATATTCTGTACTACTATATATAACACTGAACAGTAGTAACTCAAGAATGCACCAACCGTAGGTAATCAGGATTAGGCACAAGCCCTTTCTGTTGGTAGATCATATATGTGCAGAGTAATCAGATGACAGTATTGTACTGGAATAAAAATGAAAAGGAAAGGAACCACGTTGTTTGATATCTGAGCCTCCTGCAGCCTAGGCACAAAGTCACAATGCTAGCAAAAAATTACAGCAGAACAAAAGTAGTCCTCAGTGATTTGCATCAGAAACAATTGTGATTCAATCTGTCCTGGCCAGTTAGGACTGCACTAGTTATAAATGTGTATATGTCTTTAGTTGGCAAATAAGAAGAGTCTTCTTGCCATGCCTTTTCAGAATTGCTTCTTCCTCCATTATTTTTGTAAAGCAAATATAATGTCCCTATTGGGTAATTTCTTTCAGAGAATGGCCAAAATGCTGTTGTGCAGTTATGCCAATGGGAGGAGGATGTGCTTACTTGCAGTAGCAAACTACTACTTGACACGTCCTGCTTAGATTTTTGGTTATGTAACATCTCACCCACCCACATGATGTGCAGTGTGGATCCAAGCATGGAGTCATTAATTAGTGGCAACATGCCAGCGCAAATTATGTCATTGCTTTCTGCTGGCGTTACTTACACAACATACTTTTGGCCAACATGCTAGAAAAGCAGTTTTTAAATCAATGCAATTTATTGATTGAAATAAAAATGTTTGATAGCATGTGGGCACAGTGTTATATCTACTGTTCTATAATTTGGATATGCACATGAAATTCCAGTGGTTTATAGTGGGTATACTTTTTAAAAGTTTCATGAGGAAAAAAAACTGTCAATTTTTTGTGTTTTTCCTCTCACAGGATGGTGTGCTGGTGGATGAATTTGGACTGCCACAGATCCCTGCAACATAACTTCACAAGTTAATGGGGAATGCTATTTTTCATCTTATAAACTCCTAAACAAAAGCCTTTGAGGAGTGATGGGGATCATAGTGCTCCATTATCACTCAATATTACTATCATGAAATATGGAGTGAACAATGACTGTTAACTCCTGTTCTAAGAAGATATTTTATTACTAGCTTTTGTATTAACAAGAAATTGACACTACTCTTTGCTTCGGTGGAATCCATTCAGAACTCCAAAACTCATCTTCATCACTATTTGTAGAAATATTGTTGGAAAGTATTTGGGACTATTTATAGTTTCTTTTGATTTTATGTTTCTCTGGACAATAGAAGGCAGTTCTGATTATTTATCTTACAATAACTTTATTATGCTTGCTGTGATCATGAACATTTTCTAAGAATACTTGTATGTTGACTTTGTTGCTAATATAGCTTCCATCACCCATAAGTGTAGCTGCTTAAAAATGCATTCAAGAGTTTCTATAATCCATTTTGACTTTAATTCTATATCATATGGTGGTTTGATCAGATATTGTAATACTCTGGAGGTTTTATCGTCTAGAACAGTGGTCCCCAACCTTAGGCCTCCAGATGTTCTTGCACTACAACTCCCAGAAGCCTTCACCACCACCTCTGCTGCCTAGGGTTGCCTAGGGTTTCTGGGAGTTGAAATCCAAGAATATCTGGAGGCCCAAGGTTGGGGACCACTGGTCTAGAATACTGAAGAAGACCAAGGTATCAACTTTTAAAATATATACTGATTTCTAGGTGATAGTGTTAATAGCAAACCACAATTCCTTCTGCTTTCATACAAAAACTCTGACTCTTTAATGATTTGGGAGTCTTTCAAAGCCAGAAGGCTGCTAGATATTTCCTCCTGCATGCCTACTGTTTACAGAATTTAAAGTCCTGGTCAGCAGCCAATGTTATGGAAAACCTATTATGAGGAAGGCGGGCAGCGCTAGCTAGGACAAGCTCCTGGTCCCAGCAAATTCCCACCTATTCTCCTACTGTAAGAGCCACCACTTCTTCTGCCTTGATGAGTTGTCAGCTGGGTCAAGGGTACTGGATACTTTTCAGAGGGCAGGATTTGATCAAGAGAGCTTCAGCTAAATGATCTTGGTAGTCAGCAGGCAATGGCATATTAAAAATGAAACAAGTATTCTTTTTACAGAAAGGCTTGATCCTAAGCACATTTGGAAATGTTACATTAGAATCAGTAAGATAATAAAACTGAGAGGTAAAAAGCATAAAACAAGCAATAGAGATTTCTTATTTCTCTTCTTGTTTATGTTATTTTGGAGAAGGTTTTCCCAATTGTCTTGTAAGATAAACTAACTATGCACTTAAGTATCATAATAGCTTTCTTCCACAATCATCTTTCTCTAACTCTGAGAAGGACACCTGATGGTCCAAGTGTCAAAGTTGCCACCTAGAACAGGGATGGAAATTATGCAAATCTTAGATAATTTTTGTGGATGCCAGCCCCCTACTGGATCCTCTCTCCCTGCAGTTAGGGGAAGAATTATAATGGAAATTATAAAAACTGCTTTTGAAAGACATGGCAGTGATTTTCTAAATAGGTAGCTTCCTGACCCCTCTGTACACACTATTTTCACAAAAGGGGAAGTGGAGTTCCAGCCACTTCTGATTTGGTTTTCTTCTTCTTAAAAAAATTCTGTCAATTTCGTCTAGCAGATTCTGTGAGAAAATGAGCCCTGGTGCCCCAGCGCTTACCACCACTGAGTTTTCTGTATGTGGACAAGGGCAGCATGCTGCCTTTTCATCACCTCTTGAGAAGTATGCAATATACAGTATGGTATATTTCTAAAGCTTGTGTCAAATGGGAAAGAAACGAGATGATTTTTCATAAAGCCAAGAGCAGAAACTGCCAAGGGCTCAAGGGCCATTTTCCTCCAATTTTTCAAAAACAGAAATGACCAAACATGATTTCTTTAAAGAGCTCTTTTAGTTCTAAAAGGGGAGGGAAGGTCAGTCTTTAAAAGGCTGCAAGCTTCCTGGGGCATAACTGGCCATCTCTAAAACAAAAATGGAATAAGGCTTGGTTGTTTTTGGTCATCCTGCCATAAACTCACATTAATTATTAGTCTCAAATTGGAAGGTTTTCTTAGGAATCGATTATTCCCAATTGTGGGGTAGGCAGTAAGGAGGTACTTTAAAAATAGGTGAAGAACTTTACTACACAGCCCTAAGACTATAGTATTGGAAGAGAATGTGTAGCTGAAAACCCAGCGAGGATCGCTGTTTAAGTCGGCTCCGACAGGAAGGCACGTAAGAGGAAAAGCTCTATTGTGAAATTCCTCCTCCTGCACAGCGAACGTGTAAGAGTACTCGTAGACTGGCCATCAGGGATTTGTTAAAACGCGTGTCTACTACCGGAGAACCTCATTCACACAACATTCTCCCGAGTCCGCGACGGCCTGGAAGGAGGGAGAGGCTGCCAGGCGGAAGTTTTCCATTCCTGCCTCCTCCTCACGGGCGTCTGGCAGTTTCCGGCCTGGGCGGAGGCGCCGCTGCAGCGGATAGACGACGAGGCGGCTCCCTGGGTGAAGCGGGCGAACGGGAATGGCTGTGCCGGGCGGGAGCTCGGCCTTGACCGTAACGGTCACATACGGTAAGATTGGGAGCGCCTCCATTCCCCCCCCGCCTGCGAGGCAGGACTAGGCCGGGCGCGGAAAGCTGCTTCTCCCTCGAGCGCGGCGAGCGCCTCAGGAAGGCCGGACCGGGCGCCTTGCTTGCCCTGCCGGCCGGGCAGCGATGTGGGCGGAGGGCCACTCTTCATTGCACCGCGAGAGCACTGCCGGTTATTGCATGCCTTTGCCGCAGCTCCCCGCCCCGTTGCCTCTCGTTCGGCTGGACTCCGTTCCAGCCTTTGGTGCCGAGAGACACCCGGAGGCTCTCAGCAGAGCGCCGTGTGGTGCCGAGAGGGTCCCTTGAGGACGGGCGTGACGGGGGTGGTGGGGTGGGCAGCCCATAACGGGCGAGCGGACTGGCGGGCTTCACCCGGGGCAAACCTGCTCGCGGCACCTGTGCCTGTCGGTGCCTCCAAATGCCTGCGCGTGTGGCATGAGGTGAATCGAAAGAGCCGCATTATTTAGCTTTGCCTCTGAATCCCTTCATGAATCAATGGCTGTGATTTAAATGGTGCATATTCTGCGAGTTCAGCTAGGCGGCCTTAGGCTATCATCACCCCTTTTCCGAATAATCCATTACAAAGATAATTCTGTTGGGCTGAATCCTTGCGGCTGCTACTGAGAGAATAACTGTGACGTGTTTTGAACACTTTATTATTTGTTTCACTTACAGGCCACTTTCTCTCTTAGTGTGCAAAACCGTATGCATTTTCCCAGTAGCTGTAATTTTGTTAGTCCCATAATTATAGGAGCTCTGTTCCTTTATAAGAAAAAATATAACACAAAACAGCAGCCATCTACTTAAGTGTGTGTGTGTTAGGTGCTGTCAAGTCGGAATCAATTTATAGCAACCCTACTAGGGCTTTCAAGGTAAGTGAGATATTTTAAGGAGTGGTTTAACCAGTGCTACATCCCCTAAGAATTCCCATGTCCAAGCAGGAGGTTGAAAAGAAATCTCCTGACAAACAGAAGTATTTAAGCAAAATGTTTCAGGGTTTACCTTGTTTAGTTGTTCTGGTAAAAGTATAATACACAGTATATAAAAATATAGTAACGAAATGTCTGTTAATCCAGTACACCACAGTGGGTATCATGCAGGAAATTTCTGGTTAAAAATACGATCCCCCTGGATTCAGGTTTATGCCAAAATATACTGGTTAAAAGATATCTAGTATGGTGTGGTGGATAGAGTGACAGGCCTGGGTCTCAATTCCCACTCAACCGGGGAAATTAACAGAGTGTGGAACTATTAAACCACTCCTTAAATATCTCACTTTGAACGCCCTATTAGGATTGCTGTGAGCCGGTTCCAACTTGACAGCACATAACAGCAACATACTAGTAAAGAACTGCAGGTATAATCGTATCATTTGCTTCTTTTGGGGGTGGGGTGTGAGGATATGGAGTTAGGAAGGATCCAAGGCAGGGGCCTCCATATGGAATAAAGTTTTAGGTAGAATGCATGAGTGCTGAGCTGCTAAGAGACATATAAAGCTTTTTTTCTTTGTAAGATAAAAATTATTTGCTGAATTTCTGCCTCTGCTGCTACTAGGATTACTAAGATCAATAAAGGAAAGTAGTGAATGTAATGTGTGTTGAGGTTTACCCTGAGTGTATTTCTGTGATGATTTGTTTAGGTAATGAAAAGCATAGCCTTCAGGTTGCTTCTCAAGAAGAAAATAGTCAACCAACAGTGCGTGATATGGCTGTCTTGATTGAACAAGTAACTGGAGTTCCAGTTTCTTTTCAAAAGCTGATATATAAGGGTAAGTAAATTTGTATTTTTTTGTAGCTTAAGGCTATGCATTTTGACCCACAAATAAGTCTCTTGAATTCAGCAGAGTATATTCTCATAGGTGAATGAGTATAGTATTGCAATAATCTCTGATTTCCAGGAAAAAAAACAGTAGCACAAACATCTTCTGCGTTCTTGTTTAAATATGTTTAAGCAGCTGATTTTGTCTCTTCTGAATAATTATAAAAATTCATCTTATTACCTCATCCTGAGAATACATAGTTAAAACTTAATCAGTTTTCTTGCATGTTTACTTATGTATTAAAATAAATAACTGACTGCTTGTGTTCATGTTTCAGTTTTTTTCCTGCTCTGCCCCCTCCATTCTATACTATTTTACAAATGTTTTTGAAACTAAACACTGCATACTTGGTATCTATTATATGACGCTCTAGAAATCTGACACCTTATTTTGACAGAGTCTTGGTATGTGATGAGTGAGACTAGATGGATCCTTCCCAAGTCCTTGTGTTATTATCTGTAGAACTTTATTATAAGTTACAGTGATTTTTTGCTGATTATTTTTTCTTCTATACTGTATTTAAGATTTTAATATTTGTACAGTACTGAGTGTAAGCTTCTAAGAGTAATTGACAAACAGAAGTATTTAAGTAAAATGTTTCAGCTTTCATGTTCAATATTTAAAAATACACTAATGAAATATAGTGACAATTAATATATTAATAAAAATATATTATATTTGTACTAAATGTATTTATGAATGTACGACTACATTTTAAGAAGACTAGGTCCAATATTTGGTCAGCGCCATGCATTTTCATTAAGGATACCTTGACATTCTCTTTTTAAAATCAGTTTGCTTTTGTATAGCGTTGTCCAGAGTGGATTATTGCTACTGAGGAAGAATTGATTTAGTTATGTGATTTCCTCCCCTGAAAAGTATGCCCTTGCTTGTTACAACCTTACTACATGTTTTTCACAATACATATTTTTGTAATCATATTGCCAACATTGACTACAGCTCCAGTATCCTCTACTCATTAATACCTCCAGTTCTGAAAGTGTGCACTTTCAAAGCATCAAAGGCTTGACTTTGTCTACAAAAAGTTGCAGAGGGACTTGCCACTATAAAGGAAGTAGGAAGCTTTGAAAAAAATTCTAGAGATTTGCATAGTGCTTCCAAGAATTTCCAATATTACATCATGTCAAGAGAAAGAGAAACCTTCAGGAATAATGTAAGTCTGAGCTGGAAAATAGGGATGATCAGGTTGGTTTATTCCTCGTGTTCATATATTACTGCTAACAAGTATGTATACTGAGAAACACGAACCCAGTTTGAGAACTGCAGAATTTTCTACTGATATCTTCTAGACAGACCATTAAACTGATTACTTAAGGATAGAGAAAGAGCATGTAAATAATCTGTATCGTTTCTATGAAACTGCTTAAAATTGAGACACTAGTCCAAGAACTCCTGGATCCTATTTACAAAACTTTTACAATTTGTATTCTTAAAATATCTCAAGATATAGAATTCAGATTTCAAAAGCCTGTCCTGTAATGAGATTTTTGTACATTACAATGATCCTCATATAGTTTTTTAAGAAAACATTTTAACAATAGAACATTTAAAATTCAATTTAAATTCAAAAGTCCCACCTTAAAAAAAAAAGATTTTTATCCATTTTGGAGCTGGTTTGAGTTTCAGTACCATGTTTTCCCGAAAATAAGATAGGATCTTATATTAATTTTTGCTCCAAAAAACACATTAGGGCTTATTTTCAGGGGATATTTTTTTCATGTACAACAATATACATTTATTCAAATGCAGTCATGTCATCTTCTAATTGCTGCACAAAAGTGGAGGTCAGGGTTTCACTTAACTAGGGCACATTTTTGGGGTAGGCTTTATATTACAAGCATCCTAAAAATCATACTAGGTCTTATTTTCAGGTTAGGTTTTATTTTAAGGGAAACAGTACTTGGCAAGTGAGTCATCTGAGCTCTCATTATGACTTAAGAGAGACATCATAATACACAGTGGGTGTATTTTTTTACAGGTCATAGATATCTGAGTGGCGAGTTTTATACCTGATGATATTTTATCAAGATTTCTGCATCTATGGAATCAAGCTGAGGAATTTATTTGGTTTTTAATTTATTTATTTTTTGTATATTTCTGCTTATGAATTATAATCTGGAAACAGACAACATATGCTCTGAAAACCGCATGCAGCTGATGTTTCTTTTTACAGTGGGGTCTCTACTTAAGAACTTAATCCGTATTGGAAGGTGGTTCTCAAGTGGAAAAGTTCTTATGTAGAATCTGTATTTCCCATAGGAATGCATTGAAATCCATTTAATCCGTATCTGCTCTTTTCCGTCCATAGAAACTAATGGGAAGCTGCTATTCTGCCTTCTACCACTAGAGGGGGATTTTTTTCTTTTTTTCCCCTTAGGTCAGGGAACAGTGTTAAAAGCACTTCTGACGAAGCTAATTTTGAAGCAATGGACTGAAAACCAATTAATCCGTTCTGGCTGTTTTTTTTATGTAGAGGTACGTTCGTACATTGAAGCATTAGTTCCCATAGGAACTAATGCAAAGCTGGTTAATACGTACTCTACCACTAGGGGGAGAACTTTTTTTTAAACCTAAGATGACCTAAGGTTAAAAAAAGAGCAGGAAAGTTTTTTTTTCCTGTTCTTATCTGGATTTTTGTTTTCAAGTAGAAGCAAAATTTAGCAAATGGAGCTGTTCTTAAGTGGAATTGTTCTTAAGTAGGGACGTTCTTAAGTAGAGACCCCACTGTATGCCCTTCCATCACCACCAAAGATGCCAATTTTGCATGAAATGTTAATAGAGTGATGGGGGAAAAAACCAAAATTTCTTCCCCAACAAGGCATGTACTCAGCAAAAAAGCTGAATTACACTTCAATAAGCCACCATATGGTTGCTTATTGAAGTGTAATTCAGATTTTTTGCTTCTATGCCTCTGAAATCTGGTGTGTTATAACCATTTTAAGAAAAAAAGGGCTCCTTTTTTGCTGGATCTCTTTTCCCATACTACTGGGTTTGTCCTAATCAAATTAATTTTTATTGAGACCTTTCAGATCTGGCGAGAAGGGCTCTTTATAGTACAGTACTTTCTTTAACCATACTGTGATCCCTGTTTCTAGTAAGACTGAAAAGAACTTTCAAACAAAACAGTGATATAAAGGGAAGCAGGATACTTTTTTATACGCTTAAGAATGTGTGTCCTGATAGAAGCAAACCCAGATACTATATTTATTTTGAAGCAACCAATTTAAGTTTTCAGATATGATACTGAAGAAACTAATATATGAAACATGCAAGTGTTTGGTTTTTATGACATAGTGCTTAGCATTTTATTGTATCTTACTTTTTTTATTAAACTGCAAGCTGCCTTGGGTCCCAGTTCTGGGAGAAAGGTGGCATAGGTATGAAATAAATAAAACCTAAATGGCTTATCACCTACAGTATGGTTGTGATGAATGTTGTGGTCCTATGCCTTTCAGCATTCACTGTACGGTACAGTGGTGCCCCACTTAACGATTACCCTGCTCCACGACGAAATCGCTTAACGACGATGTTTTTGCGATCACAAAACAATCTTTAAATGGTTTTTTCGCTTAACGATGATCAGTTCCCTGCTTCGGTAACGGATTCTTCGCTAAACAATGATTTTCAAACAGCTGATCGGCGGCTCTCAAAATGGCTCCCCGCTGTGCAAAATGGCTCCCCGCTGTTTTCAGCACGGATTCCTTGCTATACAGGGAGCAGAAAATGGCCGCCCTATGAAGGATCTTCACTGGACGGTGAGTTATTTCGCCCATTGGACTGCATTGAATGGTTTTCAATGCATTCCAATGGGTTTATTTCACCTGACAACGATTTCTTTGTACAGCGACTTTGCTGGAACGGATTATCGTCGTCAAGCGAGGCACCACTGTATTCAGAAGTTGATCCATTCCTATGTTAGGCAACTAACAAGAGCCTGTGTATTTTCATTTAAAACTGCATTTCTTTCTTTTAATGTAATGCTTATAACAAATTTTACAGTCATATGTTTATATATGAAGATACTTTGGTGTTTGATGGATCACATTATGACTTTATATGTTCAGCTCAGCTTGATGAGTTTCATTGTGTAGGCCTTAAATGAATACATACATTTAAACAAAAATGACATTACTTAGTGTTAGAAATCACACTAGGGTAGGCCCATTGAATCAATAAGGGTTTGGTGAGTCAACTCCTCTGTAGGTTTCATTGATTCAAATGGGCCTAGTCTAGTGTGATTTACTATATTAAGGAATAAGATGTTGGTCAATTATTTCTTTGAATCCAGACCCTGACATACACCAGCAAAAAGGTGATTGACTTGCTTTTATATTATTGGTGTTCTATCTTTTCTGTTCCTCCTCTCAGCCATAGAGGGAAATGTAAACTTTTGCTTAAATGTAGTTTGTGGTGTTATCGTGATGGACAAATTAGCATACTATTTGTTTCATATTGTCCAACTTTAAGCCATAGTTACCAAAGCTGACTAGTTTAAATTATCTATAATTAAGATTCAGTGGAATTCAGTGTTTGGATGACAATCCAAGCAGGGGTTTTCAAAAGTGGAAATGAAAGTTTCCAGATCTCTCCTCTGTGGACACATGGGATGAAGAAAAACAGTCAGTGCATTATGATATCACATAATCTCTGCAGTGATGTCACTGCGGGCTTGGACAGCTAGGCAACTGAATGCAAACAGATGGCCAACCTATGATCGTAATAATAAAATTAAAATTGAATGCTAACAGATTTACAGATGTGTGATCAGTTGTTAGATTAAATCATGTCAGTATTATATGCATGTCATGTAGAACTGCTGGGTAGTTCAGTGGTTGGGAAGTTTGATTCCCCACTGGGCCTCCTTTACAGGGGCTGGACTCGATGATCCAGAGGGTCCCTTTCAGCTCTCCAGCTCTAAGATGATGATGATATCTTGTATCAACAATAAATCAGTTTAGAGTTGATTCAGTGTAGAGTGTTTTGAAGAATATGCATGATGGTTACAATTTTACGTATACACTATATGAAAAGGCATATAGGTTATAAAACTATTTCTGGCTTTATATTTCAATCTTTTGAATGTATTTACAATTTCGCTCATTATTTTTGCTTTTCAAATCTTATAAATAAATGTATGGTTTTATTATTTCTTCCTAGGAAAATCCTTGAAAGAAATGGATCAGCCATTGTCCACATTTGGAGTGAAAAACGGTTGTAAAGTCATGCTGATTGGGAAAAGGGTATGTTTCATTTTATGAAGGGTGTTCTACATTGTAGTGTTTACTCAGTGACAGTGGAGAATTAGTTCTATGGTGTTGTCTCCTAATACTTTTCCTCTGATTGTTTTCTCACTTAATACAGTTTGGATAAAAAGGAATTACATGAGGTTCCTAGCTTGGATGAAAAGAATCATTAAGAGAAAGAGATTTAAATAGTAAGAATTCTTGTACAATACAGCCAGGAGATGTGTTTCTGTGCAGCCCCTATGGAGGAACATCGCTGAACGGTGAGTTTATCCCCCATAGGAACGCATTAAACAAAATTTAATGCGTTCCTATGGGATTTTCCATTCCGTTTAGCGATGTTTCCACATAGCGACGATTAATCCGGCACGGATTAACGTCGCTATGCAGGGCACCACTGTACTGAGAGGTAGCTACTAATTATCATCTTATGCTACAAAATAAAAAAAGAACAATGTCCCACACAATTAGATACTGCATTTTAGAAGAAGCATGAAGTTCCAGTTTCTGCAACCAGGAAAAGAAGTCTTGTTCTACAAGAAGGAGACAGATCAAGTATGTTTTTCACTCCTTTTGCTGCCGTTTAGTTTTAGAATTTAGAAATCATTTCATGCTAGGGACATTGAACACTGCTAGCAGGATTGACTCAGGTGCCTGCTTACGTATAAGCTGGTACTGGTGAGAGAGCATATGAATGTTTGTGAAGTTGAGGAGAGTGAAAGCTGAGCTTGTGAGGGGTGCACCACTGAGCATGCACACTGTAGTAGTGTGTTCACAAAACACTGATTAGGGAGAATAACAAAGCGAGGGAATGGGACTTTTCTCAAGGTTAAATAAGGAAGACAACCCGCTCCACCACTCCTCAGAATAGTCTATTAATTTCATAACTTTTGACCAGTATCTTGTCCTATACAGTTGTCAGTTACATATGTAACTGATGTATGTTAATAGTGTAAAACAAGATATTAGTAATACAATGTTTCCCAAGATACAAGTGTGATGTTTACTCATGAGGCCCCTGCTTGTTATCCCCTCATAAAGGCGCACATCGCATTCTCTTCTTGCTGCCACCAGTGGATTACTTCAATCCATAATATAAATGACGTATGTCAGAACACTTGTCTTGTGAACAGAAACAGAACTTATTTATTGAAGTGAAGCAGAATGAGTAATAACAGAAGTTTTTGTATTCAGTATAAATAAGCAATTAATCAACATTCCTCTCAGCACATAGTTCTTTTCGCTTGCAACTTCATTACCACCTTCACTACCTATATCTGTAACCAGCCCTATCTCTTTGACTAACCAGCCCTCTCTGACTAACCCTATCTATGTATCTGACTAACCAGCCTCCTCCTCCCCCGCCAAACCTCATGTAGCTGCTGACTCCGCCTCTCCAGCCCTCTCATAGGTTCATACAAATCAGCCTATTAATATGAGTGACATGAGTGATGTGGGCGGTCGGCACAACAAGTCTTACTGTTTTTTTTGTGTTCCCCTAAATTTCCTGATTCATATCCCTGGGGGTACACATACCCCAGGTTGGGAATTACTGCTATAGTGTATATCTATTCTAACAGTGAATGTGTTTATTCTAGAAACTTAATATGGTTTATAACTGTAATAAGTACAAGGAGACCAATGCTCTGAATTGCAGTGAACCCTTCAGTGTTTCTTAAATGTACATTAACATAATCCTTAATTGAAAAAAAATGCTTCAATAATGTTCACACCTGAATTGATATCAAGGTGTAGTACTTTGTTTTTAAAATATACAGAAAAGTCCAGATGAAGAGGCTGAACTGAAGAAATTAAAAGATTTGGAGACATCAGTGGAGCAAGTTGCCAAGAAAATAGAGGAAATTAATAAAGAGCTTGGTGGTATTCAGAAGGTGAGTTTCTTGGTGCAGCAATTCATCTGTCTTTTTACCTTTTGTTAGTAAAACAATTTTTATTGTGTGGGCAGGCAAGTTTGTGAATTGGAGAGTGGTTCTGTGTATTTGTCTGGTCATCTTCCTGTGTGCAGAGTAAAGAGAAGAGGAGAGTCTCTTTGTGATTGCATATGGGTGAAAAGGGGAAGCTGTGGAGTGAATGACTGTATGAGGATGGTGAGATTGGTAGAATAATGGAGGGTGTAAAGGAGAAGAGAGAATATGGGAGGACACATACCGTATTTGCAGGCGTACAAGACGACTGGGCGTGTAAGACGAACCCCCAACATTTCCACTCAGAATATAGAGTGGATGGCTCTGCTGTGGTGCTGGCGGCGGCTGCCCAGGGCTCTGCCCGGGCCTGCCCTGGAAGTTCATGGCCGGCGAGGAGGAGGGCGAGGAGGTGGGGAACCGCCTGCCTGCCTTCCTCCCCAGCCAGCGCGGCCCTGCATCACTCACTCAACAGCGGCAGCGGTGGCTCCTTCCTGGCCCAAGTGAAGTGCACCCGGTGTATAAGACGACCCCCCCACTTGGGGGCTTGTTTTTTGGGCCAAAAAGTTGTTTTATATGCTGGCAAATACGGTAGTGTTTTAATGGAAAGGAGAGCAACCAAAGGGAACTGTGAAGCAGAATAACCTAAGAGAGGGTCTTTTACAATGAGGATATAGGGAGATTGTATATGTGTGAGACAGAGAGAATGGGAAAGTGAGTGTGGAAGGTCTGGGAAGGGAAAGAGATGGCATCTCTGGTGGGATGTATGCAAAATGCTGGAAATAAAAGAGGAAGGCATGTGTGGATGGTAAAAATGGAAAAGGTTCATAGGATATGTGGGAGGGTGTAAAGAGAAGGCATGTCAGAGAGAGAGAGAAAAATTCAGGTGGTTTTTCAGTGAGAGCAATGTATAAGAAAGAGACAGGCAATTCAGGGAGAGGAACATGTGAGAAAGATTATACTGGAAGCATATACAGTACTGTGTGAGAGAGGAATAATAATGTTTTCTATGTAGCTTCTCAGTTAGTGTTAAAACATTGATGAATTGGTCTTACTTTTTAAAAGTAGATCAGTTATATATTTTCCATACAGGATTTTCTGGCAAAGAATCTTCAAACTGAAGCACTCTGCCAGTTGGACAAGCGGATAAAGGGAACAGCTGAACAATTTATGAAAATTCTGGAACAAATAGATGCCATTGTGAGTAAATAATTAAATTAATTAATTATACCCACTATATTACTATATTGTGGCTTTCTACTGGAAAACACAATTGGTTTTTATTATATCTTTTGTAACGAAGCTTTAAGTTCAGGATTAGGTTTATATAGATATGTAGTAAGCTCAAAAGGTATACCTGGTGAGGATTTTTAAAAAAAACGTTATTGTGAAATGGACACATCTGTCCCATTGAGAATATTCTTTCTGCAAAATGTGAAATATTGGCAGCTTATCAAATTAATTGCTGGCCTTTAGGCCTGTTGGAGTACAACTGTTTCAATGCTCAGTCAGCATGGCTTTTAGGACCATGTGCCAGAGCCATTCAAGTAAACTGTGTGTAATGTAGAAAAAAGAGAGTAGACTCTGTTGACTGGGAATGGAGAGAGTCCTGATCCATTCCCTCTGTGGAATGCTAGGTGGTATTCAGTTGAGACTGAGGCTCCTAAGGTATGTTGTTTGGTTCCAGATACAGTGATGCTCAGAGCAGGCCAAGTGTAATGAATGAGATGTGTCTAATTTAAATTGTTTTGGTTTCAGCGAATCTTCTCTAAATAAGACTAGGCCTAGCTAGTCTTATTTAGAGACTAAGACTAGCTAAATAAGATTAAGCCCAGTGTATGCATACCATCCCTTGGAGACTGTCACTATCCATTTTGAACAGTAGCTTCTCTGTTATCCTTGTGGAGATGTTTCAAAACCTAGTCAAGAGTTTGAAAATAGCATTTTCCTGATGTTGTTTTCCAAAGAAAAACATGTTCCTTTTATATCTAGATTTTTCTGATGCAAATCCTTCGACTGAGGTAAAAAATTAAAAAATTTCAGATATGTTTTAATAGAATCAATATTTCTAAGAAGTTGGGGGAAAGCATTTTGTGCTCAGAAGTGTAAACCATTTTCTTTATAAAGCATCTTCAGATCTTTCATGGTTGGCTTAGCTATAAGACACTGTTGTGAATGGATTAAAATCCTAGAGGCATTTTTAATGAGTTACTAAGGACCATTCAGTATTTTCTATAAGCTTTTCCATAAGCAACTGGTTGGCTACTGTGCCAACAGAAATTTGGATTAAATTGGTCTTTGATGACTCATCTAGCACAGCTTTTAAAAATATTGAATTACCATTTCCCTTCACCAATATTATTTCCGTGTAGAAAAAAGTGTTTATATTATTTATATAACATAACAGTGAAATGCATCTATTTTACTAAAGACATATAGAGTGGAAAATTGTGGTGCAGAATAACTTCTCATTTTGATTACATACAACCAAACAGATACATATGCATTCCTTATACATGGTTATCTTTTTGTACAGGAATAAAATTTGTGCAGGAGAAATGTTGAAGTATATACTGTATTATCAAGTATGAGGTTCTCTTGAAATACTACGGATTTGGGGTCATTTTGAAGAACACTATATGTCACAGTTGACCTTCTTGTAATGACAGTTTTTAAGAGAGCTTGACTTCCCCAAACCCCAAGATTTTATTTCTTGGGAAAGTTAATATATAACTAGGTCTAGTTTCTCCCTCTACAAAGTTTTCACTTAGTCATAGTTTATTTAGATGAAACACCTTCCACAAATACCTTGTGTTCCAAAGTTAGCAGAGTAGGCAATATGAATAAAATAGCTATCATAATAATATAATATTTTTACAGCTAATGTTCTTCTAGAACACCCCATAAATTAGTTAACAGTGTGTAGTACTAATAGCATCAGCAGTACACCCACCATATTCTCAGCAGTTCATATTAAGAGAAGTTACATTAAGATTTATTTCCTTCATAAAGCTAATAGCAAGGACGGAAAAGATAAACCAAAGCAACCGTATGGCATGCCAGAGAACCTGTTCTCCAGCGTGATCAAGAGACCCTCCTCTCGCCGAGGTTCCATTTCCTGAGGCAAGAAAGGGCATCTCTATGACAACTCAGCTCCTGGCTAAGAGCAAAGACAAGGGCAAAGCAAAATAAGAAGAACCTATTTCTTCTGAGGCCCATGCTTTCATGAAAGAGCACATTTCTAAGAGCAGCACAGACACTGTGAAACACCACAAGTACGGTAGTCTTTAAGGCTGGTGGCACTAATCCCTAATGAACATTGGCAAGCTTTTATATCTATACTCAAGGTGAGAAAATATTATCTCAGTTCCTTTTCCGAGTTATGCAAGGCATGTGGAAATATGTAGTTTATCTGCCCTCATATATTACAGTGTGCATGTTAAATATTAGATCTTTGGGCCAACAATTCATTGCGAAGTTATTTTATAAAAGAGTGCTAATTTTTCTAGACCTGGAAGTTGGTCATTTGAGACCAAAAAATCCATTCTGTTTCTCACTATATGTTTCTGAAGCTGTTTATGGCTTGTTTAAAATGGCAACTTATTAACGTGTATCTTTTGTGTATCATAATTTTTTATTATAACCCCAGTAGTATAAATTGACTTTTAGAATAGGACCAAACAGTCAACTATTTGTTTCCTTATTTGTTTTTTTAAAGAACTTGTTCAAACATATATGATTAATTTTTTTAAAAGATTAATTGGTGTGCTTATGCAACTTAAGGTGCAATCCTGTTTTGTCTGGAGCAGTTGAAAGTTTAGCTTAGACCTGTGAAAAGGAGATTTCCTACACAACATTATGTAGAAAGATTCACACCTGTCACCCTTGATATTAGTGAAGGATAAAAGTGAAGGAATCGATGGTATGGCATGAGTGACATGAAAAGGCTTTGCACCCCCCAAAAAATAAAAACCCTGCCAGGCACATTCACAGTCCAAGGAAGACTTTATGCCAGCTCTGGAGTTGGTATAAAGAGATTCTCTCTTACTGGAAGAGAAATAGTTTGGTTTAAAAAACAAAGTGAGAAAGAGTGTGAAACATTATTTTTGCCTCACTTTTGCTATGCCAGCTGGAGCCTGGCTTGGCTTTGTATGCATTAGACACTCTGGAGCATTCTGACCCTTGCAATACCATTGCCTTGTTACTTATCAAACGTATGAAATTCTAGAGGATATCTGTAGGACTGTAAAAAGAATGATGTACATGTAAATATATGCTTATTGTTTTATGAGTATTAAGTACTAGTTCTGTACATTCTGAAAGTAGCTACATTGAGTGATATCTGAACTAATAAATACGGTATATCCTTTTTAAGTTTAGGTAATATAGAATTCACTATAATTATTAGTCAGTGTTATTAGAGCCTCGTGGCGCAGTGGTTAAACTGCTGTACTGCAGCTAAAACTGTGCTCACGACCTGGGGTTCAAATCCCAGGTAGCCGGCTCAAGGTTGACTCAGCCTTCTATCCTTCCGAGGTCGGTAAAATGAGTACCCAGCTCGCTGGGGGGGCAGTGTGTAGCCTGCATAATTAATTTGTAAACCGCCCAGAGAGTGCTTGAAGCGCTTTATATGGAATGGAGAGAGTGCAAACTGGAAAGTAAAACTGATGGCCAGGTATATCTGGGATGGGGAACCTCTCACCATGCAAGAGTCTGGGGTTACATGGGAAGGCAGGTAGACATACTTGGAGGCATACATCTCACCATATAGGGTATATTGAGCTTAACCCCCTGATCTTTTCTCACAGTGATTTAAGGAGGGAAGTGTGAGATAAAAGCTTATCTCATCTCCCAGTGATCCTCACTGAGACTGCTGTCCCAATTCTTTTCTTTTGCTGGCTTATAAGGAATGAATGTCTGGAGTTCTCTGCTGGCTCTGTGGTGATGGGAGGCTGCACTAGGAGCAGCAAAAGGATCATCATTCCTGAAACTGATAAATTCATCTAAATATGCTTGACTTGCACCTATATAGTGGTCTTTCTTATCATTACAATAGTTCTGTGTGTAGCTCACAGTTATTCCTATTTTAAGCGGGAGAACTGAAAATGACTTGCCTATGGATTCTCCAATGAGCCAGGGTTTACTGAAAAAGACTGAACACTGATCCTGGTTCAAGTCCAAAGTATCTGTAGATAACCTGGTCAATGTGGGTTGCAATATTGTTGTTCAAAACAGGCTAAGATGCACATGAAGTACTAATAGTTTTCCCCTTAGCTTGATGTACATCAGGTGAAGAATTAAAAAGGAAAGAAATAGATAGTATAATAAAGACTTCAGAATATTAGATTGATTGATATATTTATACCATCTCTGTCTAGCCTCTAAGAAGGTAAAAAACATCATAAAACCATAATTTATAAAGCAGCAAAGCCTAAAAATAAACAATACTAGTTTAGGAACAGGTGGTACGTTCGTCATGAATTCAATGGAAGAAGATTGATTTTAGTAGGATGCCTGACAGCACAGAGAAAGGGCAACAGCCAGATCTCTCAAGGTGAGGCTATACTGTAGTTGCCTAGTATCACCAAAAAGGCCCTGTTATACAGACTAGTTACATCTCTGATCATAGTGGAACTTGAAGCTTCTGAAGATCAAAGTGTGAGGTTCTGGTTCATACTGATGAAAGTGATCCTTTTTTCAGTTACTCAGGTCACAAAACATTCAGGGTTTAAAGATCTAATTAAGCATATTGAAGTGGTATACAGTAGTCACACAGTTCATCTGGAGACATTCTGAATGGAGAACTAGTTGGTCTTACTCTGCAAGATACTCCATCACCAAGCATTTAAGCCTTAATTGGTGAAAGTCTTGCATAAACATCTAAAAGATTTAGATTACCTTTGTTGTTAAATTATATTTTAATTAAATATTCAAATGTTATTGTAACTCAAGGTATATTGCCAAGTTCACAAAACCTTGAATAGTTGGACAACGTATTCCTGGAGAGGAGACGTAAGCTGACTTAAGGAAAAAAGGAAAGATGGTGAGATCTGATTTGAATGTTATTCTTATGTTTTTCTCAAGCCACTCTTTTAGGGAGCAGGTTAGACTATGTTCTGTTTAGTGCTAGGATCCTTTGTTTGCCAATTCAGCACTGAATATGAACATTAAAAATAGGGGTTTTGGGAATCTTGCTGAGTATTGAATAGCTTCTTTAACAGGCATAAAACACTGTCTGATATAAACTAAATAAGCTGTTTTAATGATACATATTTGTCTGTATAGACCCAAGATGACCATTCAGAAGAGGACAGTAATTTATTTCTCTTTGTTCAAAACAAGCTTCCCTTCGCTAACTGTAGCATACTTAGATTATATGTGGCAATACTAATAGGTGGGTTTCTTGTATTCTTTTGTGGATTCTTAATCACATGTTCCTCCTTCTTCACGAGGAGGGGGTCACAAGGAGTGGGATACGACTTAACGACTAAACAACAAAATCACATGTTCCTCCTTACAAACTTTCCCTTGCAAAATGCAGGCTATTCTTTTGCAGAAAACTCTGTATATTTTAGAACATTTCCATGGGTGTGGGATGGTATCAGTTAAGCATATTAATGCATCTCCAGTTTTCAGCAGAGAATAAATTTACCCATAACTACACTTAGATTCCAAAATTGTTCAGAACAGGGCTGGGGATAAATCAGTTTTTATTTAAGAAATATATGCACCACACTTTGACATGTTTGCTAGGAGACTTACCAAAAAAACAAAACAAAACAAAAAATCAAAAGAAGGCAAGCAAGAACAAAATATTAGAAACATCAATCTATAAAACAGCAATGTAGTATAATATAAAATTGAATATTGTTTCCAAGAAGACTTCTGTCAATAGATTTTTTACCATAGAAGGTATCCTCTGAACTGTTTTGATTCCAAATATTTGTTGGACTGGGATAACGCTTTAGTCCCTGTCAGAGGTCATATTTGTTTCTTGCTTGCTTGGTATCTTCCAATACATTTTGCGTAGTATTTATACTATGGCTGGAATCCTACTGGTGGTAATTTGTCACTGCATAATTTGTCACAATTAATTGATGAGGTACTGTGGTACATCTCAGTTGAGCAATTTGATGTGCAAGCAGGGACACAACCAGAAAACCCCTAGCACCTTGTCAGTTAGCTACAATCAGTTATGCAAGTTACACAAACACCAGTAGGATTGTGGCCTGTGTATTAAAACCTAAAAGTTCTGTGTCAGCAATTTTGTCATTTTTCACGTATTTTTCATGTTGCATAATTCTACTTCTGTCAGTGAAAGGACCCGTAAAATGCAGTCTCAGCTTTGTAAAATCCTTCCCAACCCATTTTCTGTAACTGAAGATAACATCAGGCATAGACCACACACCCTTGAATCCATTTTCATTTCCTCAGAGGAAATATTCAGGTGGGGATGTCTGCTGAATTCCATGCCTGCCATCAGGTATCATGTTTGCTAAGTGTAGCTGGTACATATACATAGCCCAGCATGTGCAGAGTATGTAATTCTGTCATTATGGAAAATCTTGTTACCATGAATTTCAGTGAAAAGACTGCATTATATATTGGTTAAACTCCTGTTGCTTAACATAGTAAGTTACAACTAGAATAGGCACATTGAATTAATGGAACTTTCATATCATGGAGTTCATCCTTCATTTTCAAAGATGACCATTTCCATCAGATTCACCATTCAGGGGAGAAATAGAAGAAGTGAGTGGTTAAGGTTAGGCAGTAGCATATTGCTGGACTTGCAGTTGACTAATTAGCCCAGCATGAGCCAGGAAGATACAGAAACTGTGGGGGGCAGGTTAGCTGATCCTGGGCTTGTTGCACTGTTAAGAAGTTGCATCCTTGTTTTCTCACTACTCTCTTCCTTTGAGCATCATTGGTTCTTTTTGTTTTGAATTTTTTAGTCCCTTGTTTGACAGCATTTTGTCAGGCACTTTGGTGTCGAACGACTGCTTCCCAATTAACATGGCCAATATTTAAATCTTTTAATGTTGTCTTCAGTGTATTTTTGAGTCATTTCTTTTGTCCACCACATAAATTGAGCACCTGCAACATGCTCTCCATGGAAGATACATTTTGGGAGACGATCATGAGACATCATGACAACATGGCTGACCTACTGTTGTTTTAAGATTGTAAAAATGCATGTCGTCTGTGCTTGTCTCCAGAACTTAAGGGTCAGGGACTTTGACTTATCATTTGTTGCTGAGAATTCTCTGAAGACAGGTAAGATGAAAACGACTGAGCTTTCTTGCATGATATTGATAAACTGCATCTCCACTCTATAAAAGTAACAGGATAGAACAACTTTATATATCTTCAGCTTAACAGATTGACTCCACATTTATTCCACGCAGAGGATTAAAGTCCAGCAAAGGCAATGTTGGCTTTAGAGATTCATGTGGTCATTTCATTGTCAGTGAGAACACAGTGGAAGACAGTGCTTCCAAAATACATGAACTTCATTGCAGTAAGGGGTGTTTGTATACCTTCAGAACTGATTCCTCATAATGTACACCCAGAGCAAGTTGGTACATCAGTATTGCCTTATCAGTATTGATCTTCAGGCCAAAATTATTGGAAGTGGAGGAGAACAGATCTCCAGGAGAATGGTTGCACTAAGAGTGCAGTAATTGCTCTTATAAAAGCCCACACAGTGCAAAATGAGATTTCAGTTATGGGATGCAGATGCTGCAGGACTGAACAGTCTTCCGTCAATGTGATATTGAAGGTCAACATTGGCATTTTCTTTCGTGCCGAACTACTGCCACAATTGGTGGGAAGAGTAGGACCTTTGTGGCACTGTGTGGATAGCTGGTTCCAGGGGCTGGACTCTAATTGGGTGCAGCTGGGATGGGGATATTTGTAATGGTTTACAAATACGGATAACCCCATCTCCAATCAAAAGTTCTAGTCAAATCTATGAATGTTGTGAAGAGGTTGACATGCTGCTCTTGACACTTATTTGTAGCTGTCAGCTGGCAAATATGTCAACAGAAGTCACAGTGAGTTTTTTATGTGATGGCTTTCTCCAAATGTCCTATGAGAAGATTCAGAAGAATTCTTGCCAGAATTTTCTGAGCAGGATTTAGATGCCTTGCTGGCTGTCACAGAGTTGACTATTGCCTTTACTTTTATAAAGCTTGAGAATAATTGAATTTTTGTGGTCCTGAAGGGTTTTGTCAGTTGCTGGAGGAGTTTATTGCCTTGTTTCTAAAGACCTCAACTGGAATTGCATCTGCCTGTAGGGTTTTTCCGTAGAGCTGGTTAATGGCCTCTTGTGGTTCTTCCAGAGAAAAGGGGAGGTCCATGGAACTGTTAATTGGCATTTGTGGCAGCTTGCTTCTCTACAAAATCTAGTGATTTCTCCATAATGAGTATCGAGCTGTCAGAGCTGAGGAAGGGTGACATTTCCACAGGTTAAGGGCCAGAGATGGTTTTGATTGCTTCAAACAATTTCTTGGTTCTTCATCGTGGTCTTCTGTGAATGCACACAAAAGGGTTAACCAAGCGCCAGCGTTGGTCCTCTCAGAATATTCTCGAGCTGCAAGAGAAATGTAACAATTGTAGGGCTGCCTACACTGCGCATGCTCCGCCCACCCGAGCCTTAGTTCCATTTTTCCGCGTTGCGGTTGGGACCTCTCGTTTCGAGCTCCATTCTTTTACTCACTATTTCGTAAAAAAACTATCTCATTTTGACCCGGACTGTCTCTCGATTTCGTCTACTTCTGTGCCCCTTGACTCGGACTGGTTTTTTGGACCATCCGATCCGTTTTTTCCCTTCGCTAGAGCGGCTTCTATATTTTCCCGCTCTTTTCTCCTCTAGCGCAACGGCCATTAATTCAGCCTATGCCTTCTGGGCCCTTTAGCCGTTGTGTGGACTGCGATAGGAAGATTCCCCATCAAGACCCACACGACCGCTGTCTTTTTTGTCTGGGTGAAGCCCACCAGACGAAGTCTTGCCGCCATCGTAAAACTTTTACCAAGGCAGCGCTTAAAGCAAGGCAGCAGCGGCTTAAATTCCACCTCTGGGAATCAACCCTCGCAGCCACTAAACCTACTGAGTCTGAAATGGCCTCACCATCGACAGCTCTCATGTCTGAGGCAAGTGTCTCTTCACAGCCTGCACCATCCAAGGCTGTACAACAGAAAAAGACGATCCCTTCGAAAAAGTCATCGGCGAAAGCCAAGGCGAGTTCCTCCTCGATGCCTGTAAAGCAAAAAGCAAAGGCGTCTGAAAAATCTAAAGAAACGACTGCTCAGCTCCCTCCAATATCGCAGTCTCTACCATCGCCTATCTTAGAGGACTCGTCTCGGGATCGAGATTTCTTGTCGGAGACAGCACCCTCCCTGCCTCCTCGACAAGCTGAGCCAGCTCTACCGCGCGGAGAACCCTCTCCGACGCCGAGTCATCTCGCTGGTGTTACAGCGGGTTTGACGTCTGCCCCCAACAGCCCATCTTCTCATGGGCGGGGATCTCCGGCTCCTTCAACCTCGTCGGCTCCTTCGAGGTAGAAATCACCGAGAAAGAAGTGCTCGAAGAGGAAGCGCAGCCCATCCAACTGACGCCGAGACAAGCGCCGGCGTCGACGAAGCCCCTCCTCGTCGAGCGACTCCGACTCGGTTCACAAACATCGTCATCGTCGATGTCGACACCGATCCAGCTCTTCGACGTCGTCATCAACATCGACAGAACCGTGTCGGAAGAAGCACAGGAAGATTAAATACATATACATCTCATCTTCCTCGAGCTCCCCCGAGGTGCGTTATCGACGCCGACATCGACGTCGACAGGTCGGTGCCAAGCCGCATGCACCACCGCGGCCGCGGTTACCGGAGCCCGTCCAGCCTACAGCTCCCTCTGTTACTGCCCCTCCTGTTCAGCCATCGACGTCGGCACACGTTGTCGGGGTCGAAAAACCACCCCGGAAAACTAAACGGGACGTTTTTTCATCGGACCCCGATGAGGCTTCCTCGGTCCTTTCTTCTGACTCTGACCAAGATCTACCAGTCCCACCTGTCCCTACCCCTTTGCCTGAGGGAGAGGTGGTTGGATCTGACATCGGGGACGCTAACGGTTCTTCTCCATCTGAAGACTTTTCATCCTACTCTCAAATGTTGGGAAGACTCGCTCGAGCCCTAAAGTTAGAACTCGACCAACCTGCACTCCCTGCAGAGGACCTCATTTTTGGAGACATAAAGGAGAAGTCTCCGCCACCTAGCTTGAATTTTGTCCCGGTGATCATGGACATAATTAAGGAATGCTGGGAACAACCGGCTAATACGCCTCCACTACCTCACTGTACTGAGAACTTCTACAGAGTACATGGGCCCGATACTAAATTTCTCCTTAAACATCCAATTCCAAACTCTTTGGTTGTGGAAACTAGTTGCACTAGACCTACTGGTAAATCTCATGTTACACCGACTAATAAGGAGGGCAAGAAATTAGAAGTCATCGGAAGGAAGATTTACTCTCTTGTTGCCTTCTTGTTGAAAGTTACTAACTACCAAACTGCACTCGGTGCTTACCAAAAGCAACTTTGGATGAAAATTTTACCTGGCCTCAAACTAGTTCATGAGGAATTTAGACAACCCTTCTTAAATTTTTATGAGGAGGCTCAAACGGTGTCACGGTATCAAAGGCTAGCAACTAGGCATGCGGCGGAGGCCTCCGCCAGAGTTCTTATGTCTGCTGTAACTTTGCGCAGACACGCCTGGCTTCGAGCGGCTAACATTCTGGAGGATGTCAAGAATAAAGTAGAAAGTCTCTCCTTTGATGCTGTTGGTCTCTTCAATGAGAAAACTGACTCTCATCTTGAAGAGCTTCATAAAGCTAAGCAGACGGCCAAATCTTACTCCATACAACCACAACCTCGCTTCCAAAAGTTCCAGTGGCGTCGGTCCTATGCACAATACCAACAGTCATCACAACAATTTAGACCGTACTCCAACTTACCTCAGCAGAGATCCTCTCAGGCTTCTACTTCTGCGCCCAGCTACAAATCACAGCGCTCTCAGCACAGACAATCCTTTAAACCTCCTGCAAAGAAAAATAGGCGTTATCTTTGACTCACCTCCAGGTTACTATCCATACACAAACAATACAAGGCTTTCTCCATTTCTTTCAAACTGGCATATGATTACCAACGACACATGGGTTCTATACATCATCGAACATGGTTACCTTCTAGAGTTCACCGAATTACCTCCTTTAGGGTACGTAAATCCTACCCCTTACGACGTGGCCCTCGAAGAGGAAGTATTCTCACTCCTGCGAAGGCAGGCCATTCACACCGTTCCAGCAGCAGACTTACTAAACGGGTTTTATTCGAGATACTTCGCCGTGTCGAAAAAAGACGGAGGAATAAGACCTATCTTGGACCTAAGACTTCTCAATACTTACCTTCGTCCCCGACGGTTCCGCATGGTCACGCTAGACTCCATTCTCCACCTGCTAAAGAAAAACAACTGGTTCACAGTCATAGACTTAAAGGACGCTTACTTTCATGTGACGATCCACCCATCACATCGCAAGTACCTCCGGTTCTTCTTCCAAGACACCATTTACCAATTCCTAGCCTTACCTTTCGGACTTTCGACAGCCCCCAGAACCTTCACGAAAGTCATGGCTCCTGTAGCAGCGTACCTAAGGCTCAAGGGTATTCACATCTACCCTTATATAGACGATTGGTTACTAGTGTCAACGTCCAGGAAACAAGCTATCAAGGACACAAAATTTGTCCTCCGGTTGCTCCCACAACTAGGCCTCACCATCAATCGAAAAAAGTCGCACCTCTCACCGTCCAGAGTAGTACACTACATAGGCGCCCGTCTCGATGCAACCAAGGCAAGAATTTTCCTCCCCAAAGAAAGATAAAAAAGATTCAAAAAGCCATAACAAAGTTCTACCCAGGAGCACGGGTTACAGCAAAGCATGCTCAACATCTGCTGGGCCTCATGGCGTCAACGACCTCGACGATGGCTCATGCTCGGCTCAAGCTACGCTCCCTGCAGTCATGGCTGCTAACACTATTCGACCCCATGACAGACAGACAGCACAAACGGCTCAAAGTGACACCCGAACTGGCCACCCAATTGCAATGGTGGACTTTCCCTCCTCACCTACAAATTGGCAAACCCTTCAAACCACTGCGATTGACTATACAAGTGACTACGGACGCCAGCCCCACAGGTTGGGGTGCGCATTGTGCTCACCACAAAATACATGGCCTCTGGTCTCCTCCGGAACTCAGTCTTCATATCAACCACCTAGAGATGCTGGCGGTCATCAAGGCATTAAGGGCGTTCCTTCCTCTGGTGCAGGGTCGTGGTGTTCAAGTAATAACAGACAACCCCACGACCCTGCACTATATCAACAAACAGGGAGGGACCCGCTCCCAGTCTCTACTGTATCTCTCCATACACCTTTGGGAATGGTGTTACCTCCATCAGATTTTCCCAGTAGCCATACACGTGTCAACAACGGACAATGCATTGGCAGATCGCCTCAGCCGCCTCCCATATCAGATGCACGAATGGGAACTCAACCAGCGGGGACTCCTTCTGTAGATCTTTTCGCCTCGGAGTTCAACACCACGTGCACAACTTATGCGTCCAGAGCCGGGATCGGCGAGAACTCTCTAGGGGACGCCTTTATGATTCACTGGAATCTGGGTCTCCTTTATGCCTTCCCTCCCATACCATTAATACAGAGAACTCTGGTGAGGCTTCGACAGTTGAAAGCGACGGCAATCCTCATAGCTCCTTATTGGCCGCCTCAGGCATGGTTCCCAACATTGACAAGCATGTCCATCGAGTTCAAGAGGTTACCTCCAATTCCAGACCTCTTGACGCAGGATGCAGGAACGGTACTTCACCCAGACGTAGAAACATTACAGTTGACAGCGTGGAAGATCTCCCCCCGATCAAGGAGGTGCTAGACCATGCGAAAAAGCCGTCTACAAATAAACTCTACTCTCATAAATGGAAAGGGTTTGTTAAGTGTGTGGAAGCCAAGGGTCTTGTGTCATCCCCTGTGTCTCTTTCCACGTTGTTATTGTACTTACGTTATCTCTTCGACCTCCACTTATCCCTTTCTACAATCAAGGTTTATCTGGCCGCCATAGTATCATTCCAACCCAGGAATTCTGCTTCGGCGAAACTTTTTTCTCATCCTATGGTTAAATCCTTCCTAAAGGGACTTTCTAACCTACGGCCTCCTGTGAAACCGCCGTTGCCGCAGTGGCCTCTACAGTTAGTTCTCCGGGCCCTTACCCGTCCTCCTTTTGAACCTATGGCCACATGTGATCTTAGGTTGTTGTCTTTCAAGACATTGTTTTTAGTAGCTGTTACGTCAGCGAGACGAGTTAGTGAACTCGCTGCATTACGTTCTGACCATCCCTTTTTACAATTTTTCAAGGACAAGGTTCAGTTATACCCTGACGTTTCATTCCTACC